ACAAGCCAGGATGGAGAAAGAAACACACACCACTTGAGGGGTTAGAACAGAGGAGGGTAACTGAGTCGCCATCTGTGAGGTGTCAAGAAGGACAAATGGTGTGAGCCAGGCATGGTACAATGACTCAGGACAGGTCTGCAGAGATTCTTCATTATTCTAGTGAGTCCTCTAGGTCCTAGGCAGGGAGGAACACTCTAAAAGAGTTGGTCCTCAACCCCTCTAGCAGGCCCCCCGCCTGTTAGGAAGCAGGCCACACAACAGGAGGTGGGCAGTGAGGAGGGAAGTTTCATCTGTATTTACAGCTCCTCCCCATAACTCCCTTTAGTGCCTGAGCTCCCCCTCCTGTCAGATCAGCGGAGGCATTAGATTCTCATAGGAGCGCAAATCCTACTGTAATTGTTCATGCGAGGGATCTAGGTTGCATGCTCCTTATGAGAACCATCTTGAAACCATCTTCCCTACACCAGTGCATGGAGAAACTGTCTTCCACAAAACTGGTCCCTGGTGCCAAAAGGTCGGAGGTCACTACTCTAAAGAGTCAAGGCCTCAAGGCCATGTGCCCAACAATCCAGGGGATGGGGTGATTTTTTTTGGTGGGAAGGTAAGGTAAGATGAGGAATCAGATTTGGGTTGTAGGAAACCTACTCATATGACTTGAGCAAAAAACATAAATTAGGAAAAGCAAACAAAAAAAGGGACTATTTAAGGATTGGGGCATTTTGTAGAAGCCAAGGGCTAGTGAGGTATTGTGACCACAGGAGGGCTGGTTGAGATCACTGCTCACGACCGCATCAGCTGCCCCCTCCCTCCTGCCTCTGCTTCTGTCTGGTGTCTCCTCGTCCTTTGCCTTCTATGGTCTGGCTCTCACTATCTCTCCGCAGCAGGGAAAAGATGCTTCCAGACAATCTCTCAGACCTGACGTCTCTGATTGCAGTTCTAAATCCCCAGGAAAGGGACTCTAATTTGTTCCCCTTGGGCCATACAGTTGTGGATGAGGAGGTAGGGCATCCACTCTCAGAGAAGGCTGGAGGTCATGACCCAGAGGTCATGTCAGGGTGTTCTGGAGATGTGTCCAACTCCAGATACTGTCAGAACCCATGTTCTAGAGAGAGGCTGCCAAGAGGCCTTCATTTTGACTTTCTCATTCTGCTCTGCAAAGTAATACACTGGCTTCCACATTTATAATTCTTCTGTGGCATAATTAAATCCATAAATAAAGACTTAATCTTTGAAGCCCTGCATTGTGAGAGCAGAATTTAAAGAGCAGGCAGAGGAGAGCTTACCAGCCCTGGTGGCCGGGGCAGCAAAGGATGCATCCTGGCTGCTGGGCAGAGGAGCAGGAGAGGCTGAAGCTGCAGAGAGCGGCTAAGGGCAGAAGGATGGCTCCTGCCCTCTGGCTGAAGCCTGGAAGAGACTTCTCTGCTCCTCTTGGAGCAGAGACGGCACTGCTGAGGCTTAAGGTCCTATCCTGCAGGCTGGGAGACACACCAGGACTGTCTCCACAGCTCTCACAGTGAGCATGTTCTGACCTAAAGCAGGTAGAGAAATAAGGATTGGTGGAAGAGGGTGCTTCCAGGAGACTTGGGGAAGGGTCCCTATGCAAGGAGAAGGAATCCAGAAAGTCTGCGACTGGAGGAGGAAAAGGGAAAGGACTCTGGTTCCTGTTTAGCTCAGTGCCTGATCCCGGAGGAATCACTGACAGCTGAATCAACAACTTCATTCCTTATGACTCTGCCCTCTCCCTCCCCACCATCTGGGACTCAGACAACACTGGCTCAGGTTCCTCCATGAAAAAGTGACAATATGAACACGTTGGTTTCTCTCGTGGGCAGACACAAAGGCCAGCACTGGGGAGGAGAGGATATTGAGAATAAAGAGGAGGGCTGGGAAGTGAGGGTGGGGAACTCTTGAGGCCAGAGTAGGGGTAAAAGGGGACCCTTTCAACCCTGCCTGTGATGCAGAGACACGCCTGGACCAAACATCTGGCAGACGGCTGTCCCCACAGCAGCAGCACCGCCTGCTTCCTGACTCCATTCCTGCATCCCCATCCCTGGTGGTTATCGCCTTGGGGCTGGGGGTTGGAGGCAGTTGTGGAACTTCCCTACGGACTCTTAGCCCCTCTTTCCCCCATTAGGGCCTCTGCTTCCCACCGCCTTTTGTTCGACCCAAACCAGAGGTCATAACCTGCTTCTGTCAAGTGACATGTAATGGAGGGTCTGAGAAGGGGCTGTGAAGCTGTTTGCTGATGATAGGATTCAGCCACCAAGGTGCTCTCTCTGAGCAGCAGTTAATTTCTGTTAATGAATTTGGACAGTTCACTGGATCTGCCCACACAGTTCCGCTCACCTTCTAAAACGGCTTCCAAAATAGCACTAGCTATTGTACAGGAGCCAAAAAGGAAAAAAAAAAAAAAAAAGAAAAGCAGAAAGTAAGAAGTGACAAGACCTCAGAGATTTCTGTCCTTTCAGAAAAGTCTGAGTGAAATTTTCCAAAAAAAAAGTTGAAGCAAAAAAAAAACAATAAAAAATAAAAAAGCTGCTTTTTTCCTCACTGAGGAACCCGGGAAAGAAAAATGACATAAAGATAGGCACACACATGGTGAGGTTGAAGGACCAGTGTTTAGTCCTCACTCCTCACACTGACGGAGAAGGCCATGGCACCCCGCTCCAGTACTCTTGCCTGGAAAAATCCCATGGACAGAGGAGCCTGGTAGGCTGCAGTCCATGGGGTCACTAAGAATCGGACACGACTGAGCGACTTCACGTTCACATTTCACTTTCACGCATTGGAGAGGGAAATGGCAACCCACTCCAGTGTTCTTGCCTGGAGAACCCCAGGGACGGGGGAGCCTGGTGGGCTGCCGCCTATGGGGTCGCACAGAGTCGGACTGAAGCGATGCAGCAGCAGCAGCAGCCTCACACTGATGTCATTTACACAGAGTCCCAGAGCTATTCCCTCCTCAGGGTCTTCAAAAGCCGCTTCTGCCGTTTGGTGCGGTATCAGGACGCCGCTACAGACAGGGCCCCATCCTCAGTCCAGCAGCGAAGGGTCGGGTCTCATTAAGGAGACGAGCTCCCCCCGCCCCGCCCCGTGTCCACGCCCCGCGTCCACGCCCCGCCCCGCCCCGTGTCCACGCCCCGAGTCCACGCCCCGCGTCCACGCCCCCTCCTCGGAGCCGGGACCTCTTGTCTCCGGGCCTGCGGGAACTCCTCCCTCCTCCACAGCCCCTCGTGCGCCCTGCGCTGCGGAACCAGATGTTCCGTGGGCAGACCCCTCTGTGGGCTGACAGGTGGTGATTACTGCTGCCAGCCTCACATTACTGGAGAACTGAATGGGAGCGAGCCCCCACCCGTCCCGGGCTCCCCACAATAGGGCCTTTGTGAGGTGCTGCAGGGCTTTCTTTTCCCCTGCCTCCCCAACCTTCGTCAGGAGCAGCTCTGCCTGGGGAGACAAGACAAAAGGAGGATCGCAGGGCCCTGACATAAACCTTACCCTGGGTGGGGGCTGGGTGAGGGAAAGAGATATCCTCAGGGGAAAAGACCAGGTCCCTTTCCCCTCCTGCCAGGAGGTTAATAACCAGGAGGACCCCCCACCCCCACCCCCAGGGCTGCTCGAGGTCAATTTCACTGTCAAAGAAGTGGATCTTGTCCATCAGAGGGCCTTGCTCCTTGATGTTGGACATGAGGATGAGGCTGGAACAGGGCCTGGTACAGAGCTCAGCAGATGCCTAGAGAATGGGCTCCAAAACCTGTCTTTCCGTCTCCTGTCCCTTCTCCCTTCCTGCACTGGCCTTCTCCATGTCTCGCCCAGAGGCCAGGGTGCTAGGCAGCAAAGGGTTAAGTTTCCAGGACTTCTGGACAGACTTCCCCGAGGTGGGGACTGGGGTAGGTAGGTGGGGGCGAGGTGGGTGGAGAGAAGGATGTGTTGGGAAACTGGTAAGGACGTGGTCACTGCCCCTCCTCCTCGCCCAAACCGCAGACGCCATGGCAGCCGGAAAGTCAGAGCGCTGCAGGCCAAGAGCACAGTTGAGCAACCTGGCCCTGGGCCATGCTAGAGATGGGAGCGGGCTTCAGCATGGGGGTGGCGCAGAGTCCACTTCAGAAGTGAGACAGTTCTTACTGAACACACATGTATATTCAGGGCTCTAGTTCCCACATTTGACTGCAGTGTGACTAAAATCCATTTTCTGCTTTGAAACCTCAGAGAATTGGAATTAGAAACTCTGCCCCTGGGCCCTAGTCCCATGGCCACAGGCACGGTGCCATTTGGGGTTCTGGGAAGGCTGGTGTGGACGATGGTGGGTGTGGAGGGAGGCCTTTTGCCCAGCCTCCCTAAGTGGTGGATACTCCGCCTCCCTAGGCGCCTCCTGATGAAGTCTGTAACTAGAGAAGCCCCTCTGCCTCAGCCTGGGAGCCCAGCCAAGGTCCTAATGTGGCTTAAGGAGTGGATATGTGGCGGAGGAGAAAATGGACGATCATGGGGAGAAATCTGATCCAAGGGCTACCCCAAACACACACAGGCGAGGAGCAGTGGATTTTCCTTTTAATGCAAAAGTCTGCAGTACAGAATGAGTCCCATTCTCTAGGGCACTGAAGAGAAAGGGAGAGAGGGCAGAGCTAAAAGTCTCCTCCTCACCCTCTCTCCCCTGACTCCCACTGAGGACAGAAATATTCTGTTGCCTGATCATTGGGGTTGCCCCCATATATTTAAGGGTCAGAGCTCTGAAACTGGGTCATCTTTCACTGGCTTGTAATTTGTTTACATGGGGCAGCAGAAGAGTGAACATTTGGGGCTTTCTCTCTTTTAGCTCGGAAAGGATTCCTTAAGATCTGGAGTCCCATGTGAAATGCATGGGGCCAGGAGAATTTAGCTTCCATGGATTAAAAACACGAGATTTGAATCACAACTTGCCCACATCTGGAGAATGAGGAGCAGGAAATTTAGTCAGGATATAAATGTATGGAGGTGAAAGAGATTCAAAAAAAACAAGACCAGCTCCCTCAAACTTCTTCCTCTTTCTTCCTCATCTCCAGCTTATAGACAATCTGGTAGCCATCATCCCAGGCGTAGAGCTGGCGCTCACGGGGGTTATAGCGCAGGCTGGCATGGGCACCATATCTGCGGGGGAAATAAGGGAGTGCTGCCCTTTCCGGGGTCAGGGTGCCGCTGGCATCAAAGGAGCATTGGATGCGAGCCCGACTGGCAGGGCGGGTATTATAGACGACGTAGAGGGTCCCACAGATGACAAAGGCGGCCTCGGCGTTCTCTCGGGGACATGGGGTATCCCACTGCTGCTCTGTGTCCAGCGTCTGTGGGTCTAACTTGGCCAGACACAAGTGCCTGTCATCCTCCTGGGTGGCATAGACAGCCCAAAGTCCCTCCTCGTCAGCTGCCAGGTCTATGTATGTGTCTGCCGTCAGCCCGTACGGGGGAATCAAACCCTCTGCTGGGAACACTGAACTGTCCACCACTGTCCGGTTTGCCAGGTGGAACTTGATGAGCTGCAAAGTGTTCTGCAGCTCACCGCCCCCTCCAGGTCCTCCGGGGGGCCTCCGGGCATAATATAGAAAGCCACCATATACCAGCTGGCCCGTGCCTACCCAGGGGAAGGGCACCCGGACCCGGGAAGCCTTCCGGGCAGCCATGGCAAGGGTGAAGTCACGCAGTCTTGGGAAGACAAAGGCTGTGTCGTTCTGGGTCCCATCTAACACGTAGATCTTCTCTGCTGGGCCCAGTGGATCCTTTGTCCATAGACCGGCTGGGCCACCGAACCGCTTCAGGATCTTCATTGATCTCACCTGAGAGATCGTGTAGCCACAATCTCGTGGGAAAGGAGAAAATCACAGGACAAGGAAATACAGGCAAGAGTTAGATGCTCACTGCAGGAACCTTGCTGGGTGGGCAGTTTAGACAAGAGCGGGCCTTTGCCCAGTGGATGCCTCTACTCTATGGAAGACTGGGAGAAAGGGCATCAGAGGCCTGGGTCCCCAGAAACTTTCCTTAATGAACCTGATATTACAGAGATTTCCGTAAAAGAGACTCCAGAAGATAGAGCCAGATAGACTGGGATAAGGAGAAAAAAGGGAAAGACTCAAGGAAGAACACGGGGTTCTGTTTCAGATTGCTTACCTGTTATCATATCGTACTTCTCATTTCTTCTGCCCTTGCCTTTGGTCCCAGGGCCTCCGGTCACCTTCTCATCAATCTCTACACAGGGTAGGGCTGGGTTCTGGGTTTCCAGATAGTCCACCTCCCGCTCCAGACGGTCTACTCTCCCGGAGATGGTGTCGGCTTCCGTTCTGAGCGCCTCCCGCTCCTTCTCAGCCACCTCCAGCAGCGGCAGCATCTTGTTCTTGAAGTCCCGCAGCTCAGCAGCATGCCGACTACTCTGGTCCTGGCACTGGGCCAGCCGTTCCTGAAGGGATGGGGCAGCAGGAGGGAGTGCTGCAGGGTCACAACTCCCAGGCAGGAAGAGGCCCCAGCAGGGAGTCAGGAATGGAAAAAGGCACAAACTCAGGCAGGCATCAGCATTCCCCCTAATCCCCAAAGGAAATAAAATGTTCAAGATGCTAAATGTGCAAAGAGCCAGGCTAAGACCCATGCAAGCTCCTATCCTGACTTTGCATCCTCTGGCCTACCGTCTGTGAGCAGTGCCACTGAATCATCTGAGCCTCTAGGGCAGTCTAAGTGCATGAAGGTGAGAAGGGATCTCTGCTCCCTTATGCTATCCCCCTCTTAGGAACTAGGATGCTACAGGCTCCAAGCCATTAAATAGGCAGAAAGTTGCAGATTCTCTGAGAACTTCCAACTTTTAATAGAACCATCAGCTCCTCTTGAGATGGGTAAATCCTTGCAATTCTAGCTCTCACTTCCACTCTGTTTCCTTATTCCATTGAATCCCAGAGGTGAAACACAGAGGTCTATTTGCTCTGGAACTGCACTACGAATGTGGGCTTCCCGGGTGGCTCAGTGTAAAGAATTCGCCTGCAATGCAGGAGATGCAGAAGACTTGGGTTCAATCCCTGGGTCGGGAAGATCCCCTGGAGGAGGAAACGGCAACCCATTCCAGTATTCTTGCCTTAAGAATCCCACGGACAGAGAAGCCTTGAGGGCTACAGTTCATGGGGTCTCAAGAGTCGGCCAAGTCTGAGCACACACGCACTGCACTCTGTGGATGTGGGGGAAGAGGGAGATTTGCAATTCTGAGAGTCCTCTCATTGAAAGATGGAGTTTTCTGTAGGTACTTACGGAGCCTAATCTGTCATCCATCGCCAGGTCCCTGACAAACTGGGAGAGTCAGCTTAGAAGACACGGAATCCTTCCGGGCTGGGCCAGAAGAGCCACTCACCTCTAAGGCAGCTAGTCGGCGCTCCATGTACTCCACAAGGTGGTGCTGCTGCCCTCGAAGGGGCGCCAACCATGCCAAAAGGAACAATGCGACGAGTGGCGCGCGGGGCCCCATGGCAGGGGCCGAGTAGGGCCAGAGTGTGTGGTCGGCCTCTTCCACTCCAGCCGGCGGGCTAGCTCTGGAGGCGGGGCGGGGGCGGTGCCTCCTCTCCTTCTCCATCCCTGGTCCCTCTCACTACTCTGGAATGCTTTCCCGGTCTCTTGAAGGCCCTCCTCCTTTCCGCCTGGACTGATCAAACACAGATGGCCCTATTGCAGAGCAGCCAGAAGCTTTAACCACTTCCCGCCTAGGCTGCAGGCTCCCCGGGAGAGGAGGAGGGGACTGGAAACTCCAGGGCAAAGGCCTTCTGGGCAGTCATCCAGGAAAAGGAGCTACAAGGGGGAGGCAGAAACCCCAGAGAAAACTCAGCAAACTATTTCTGCTTTAGAATGCTTCCGATGCTGACTTCAGAAACATTCTTCATTTATCCTTTCCTTTCCCAGCAATAACAGCATGGATTGTTTTCTGCCTTTGGTGGAAGCTGGAAGCAGGGAGATGAGGTCTGAGGCGAAGAGGTGGGAAAAAAGGCCATAGTGCTCACAGCTGTAGGACCTTCCTCTACGGCTCACTGGCGCCACCTTGTGCCAAGCACCTGGTGTCATCTCAGAATTAATAGGAAAACCAAGGCTTAGACTTCACCTCCAGTGGAAAATTTTCTACAAGGCAAGCCAAGTAGGCTGAATTTACAAGGGTTTTCATGATTAAAAAGCACCTTTCCCCACAGACTATCCAATTACTTAAGGAGCCTCTCTTTGATTTAGACTAAGAAAGACAATGTAACTGAGATTAAAACGAAAGAAAAAACTCAAAACAGATCATTGAGAAATTCGTAAATTAATTCTTGATTATCTGGAAGAGAGTCTGACAGCAGTCATTCTATATAGTCTTCCTTTGCCTGAAAGCTCCTAGAATATTATCTTACCAAAACTAGGGAGTGTTCAGTGAGTTAACACTACTTTTACACTCATTTAGGGGGGAAAAATCTGAAAAATTTATTGTTTGTACTCTAAATTAAAATAAATGCACTCTGACTTCCCTACTAATGGGAGAGAACAGACTATTGATAATTTCTCTTGGTTATGGCTCCAAAGGGCATTTCTGTTTTCTCATTTCTATATTCCAACTATGACTGCAGGAGCCCCAAATGAATTAATGGCCATTGTAAGACAGACTTGTCTTGAAACACATACGTCAAAAGAAGTCAAATGAACATAGCATGTATTCAGAGACCCTCAGTGATGAATCTAGACAAATCAGGAGAATTTTAATTCATTTTAATGATGAGAAATCTGATCAGAAATTCTCCTCTAAAAAACAAAAACTAGTCTTCTAACAGGGCAGCTTGAAAGGAGGGGAAAATAGCATCATCTTGTGGTTATTCTTATTTTCATTTTGGTACTTTAAATGTTTGGTGGAACATGGTAGGAAGCAATTTCATTAATGAGTGTCAGAAGTTTCTGCCTTTTCCAAAGGGCTAGATCCAGATGCTCTTAAGTTAGGGCCCCGGACACTCCATTCTGGGGAAGTGTCCCCTACCAGGCCCTAGTCAGTTCTGCTGTGGAGATGTGTATGAAGAAGTAACTTGTCTCTAACATTCTACCAGTCTTCAGATGCAACGTATTCAGCCACTCCACAGATGCCATTGTTGATCCTCTTTGCACCCTTGTAACACAAGTCAAAACCAGTCACATGAATCAGAAAATTTACCCATTTTATTGATGCATTGCAATTGCTCTACATTTTACCATATTATGTAGAAAATACTGAAAATACAAGCTACTTTGTAAAACCAAAGACAAACATTGAATCCAAAGATAAACTATGTTTTACACAATGGACCCTTTTCCCATAGTTAGTATTAAATTTTAAATATCTATTTTTTTTGTTAAAATGATTATTTTACATACTCCCTAAGTACATCTGCATTACAAACATAGCTCAGTAATTCTCAGAAACTGTTTCTAGAGGCTTGTTGTAAAAGGAAGCGCACAACCAGAAAAGGGAGAAAGCAAAAAAAGTTTAAATCGCACACAATAACTAGCATATCAAATACATTTAATAAAGTTGGAATTCCATTGCAATATCAAGGATTCAAAGCAGAAATACTAACGTTACATATAATGTACATAAAATGTACTGCTACATGTAGTGAGATTATTTTTCAAGCTGAATCAAAACCACACATTATATAAAGTTTAGCAACAAACAACCATGTAGACATGCTGCACCATCCATCAGTTTAAAAAAAAATCGAAATAGAAAGCAGGCTTGGGTCATTCCTGTCACTGAGAGGCAATTTCATTTCCTATCCTAAAACAAACCATCCTAACCAGTGGGTTTCTGCGTAATAATGCTGAATAAAACACACATTACTGCACTTGCCTGGCTAAGGGCAGTCAAGCTAGCCCCTCCAGTGGAGGACGATGGATGGCCAGAACTGTTTAAATGGTGTTCTCATTCCTGGGACTGGGGTTTTAGCTGAGCACTGACCAACTCTGGGGTGATCAAGTGTCCTGATGAGCCTAGAGTGGCTGCACCTTCCCACTTTCTCTTCACCCCTGAAGTGGGGAAGTTGGAAATACAAGTTCTGAGAGGACTTAAAGCCTTAAGCCGGTCTGAGGTCAGGCCTCTGTGACTGGGGCCAGCTGCTCACTTTATTACGGGGCTTCCCTCATCCTGTCAGGGCCAGCAATATTAAGCCCCAGAGACAGAATCTAAGCCACATTGAGCACATACGCATTCAGCAGACACAGATGCATTTCATCTTGGTAAATCTGAAACGCCAATTTGCAAAATTAAGACTGAAGATCTCTAAAATTCTTAAAGCCACACGCTGCTAATAAGGTGACTATGGTAACAATATAAGCTCTGGGTATTACTGTCTTCTCCCCATGAAGACTCCTATCTTAAGTGGTATCCACTTACTGGACTGAAGGTGGGGGTGGGGGGTGGGGGGTGCAGGAGTGGAGTGTTTTGTGTCCACCCCCCACCCCGCCGCATCTCATTTCTTACAAAAACAACAAAACTTATCCCTTGTAGAGGAAAGATAAGGAACAAAAAAAGTTTCCACAGATCTGCCTTTGAGCTAGAAAATGAGAATGTGTTTGGCAAAAAGAGACATAAAGATCACCCACGCTGACACAAAAAACTGTATAATACTCGTGACAGAAACTGTACAGACTTCTTGGGTATCTTGACCAATACAGTGCTGAAAACAGAACTCAATATAATGATGAAAAGAAAGTAGAAAAACACCAACATGTTCCTGGTAGGCTGTTCTAACTATCTGCCCCATCCTGAAAGCCCTTCCTCCTTCCAATGAAGAAATTCCAAATACCTTGACAGCTCCTCGGTGTTCAACCTGGTTCAGAGCTTGCTGACCAGGTCCCATGAAATCTCCCATCTCCATCCTGCACCTCCTTGACACCATCTCTACAAAGAACCAGTCCTAGACGTATCCCTCAAATCTATAACCTTCAGTTCAGATGGAACACACCCACATCTTAGGGTTAACCTTCTTCCCCCAAATCTTTTACGGGCAGGAACTTTGCCATCCCCAGTACCCTCTTCTTGACCCAGATCCGTGCAGGAGCTGAGAGTACAAGGACAATTTCACAGTTTGAAGGGCCCCAAGAATACAGAAGTTGTTAAAAAGAAACCTCAGAAGCCCAATGACTCAACAGGCTTTGGTTCCTTCTTAATATTCTTCACTGGTTAAGAAACCTTTCTGTGAGTTCCCTGTCACCAGCGGCATCACAAAACTCCTCCTCATAGTATTGGGGACATGATAAGCAATACAACAGGCTCTTTGGTATAAACACATCTGTTACATGTTTTTTTTCAACAAGCAAATATTTTACTAGGAATGTCGACTATTCGCAGGAAGGACTGCCACATGGGAAAAGGAAAAAATAAATCATCTAAAAGTGATTGCACTTACTTAAAAAGGGGGGGGGATGCACATTTAATATTGACTCGACTCCTCTCACCTGTTTCCTAAATTCTCACAGAAGCAAGGTAGCAACGCACAGTGAGAGAGCCACATGGGGAAAATGCTTCTGTGAGAACTCAGCTGAGAATCCAAAACAGAAAGGGGTAGAGGTGGTGGTAAAAAAGAGAAGTTACTGTTTTTATTTTCCAATGTCGGCAGGGAAACTGAGAACAATGCATATACACAACACAGCTACTAATCCTGTTCTGATAAATCCCGGTGAACAGCTTTGGGTCCACGGGGGCTTGCTGGTCCGTCCTAAGGCAAGCTCACTGTAAACTCTATGAACCACTACATTATCATATAAGGCACTACAATAAGGGAAGGAGGAGAAAAGGAAGGAAGAGACACACACTGAACAACTCCTCACCAGACACACCTGTGCAAAACAATTCCAAGGGTCTCCTCTCCTTGCAGGCAATGCCCCTGCTCACTCAGCACTACAGTAATATGCTCTATTATAATCGCAATTAGTTCACATACATTCCAACAAGTATCAGTTCATTTTGGTTTAAATACAATGGAGACATCAATTTCATCTCCGGGGTAACACTGGAGGATCAGATACACACTAAATACACAATTCAAGTGTAATCACTACACATTTGATTACAAATAACATTTTGGGTTAGCAGGAAAAATTGCTTGTTATAGTCTTCTAGTCAGTATGTACATATTTAATTATGCAAAATATTAAAACACCACCATTACAAAACTTCTAAAATATTTTTAAATTCAGTAATAAATTTTTAAAATATTTTTTGCAATTCCTACATGCACTTATTATATAAGTCTTAGTAAGAGAGCATTCAATCTGCTGCTGGCATACAAAGAAAGCTACTTTTAAGTATAAAAGCTATACACAACGTTCTTATCTGATTTCAGATCCTTTAGCTTTCTCCCCAAATAAATCACATAGAACAAAGGGAGAGATGAGGCAAAGAGAGAAAGAGGTGTATTATTGAAAATTCATACTAATCTTCAGGCAAAGCTCATCAATGCCAGTATCACATAATACAAACAGAGTTTGCATATAATAAAACCACCATCACCATACAATAATAACCACCTTAATGGCTTTTCCAAGAATAAAATTTAAGCTGAATCAGAGAAAGACTTTTTTAAAATAATTTAAAAAGAATGCACAGGGCTTCATTTAAAAAGAACACCCAGTGCTTTGTGGTAGGTATGGATTCTCTCACACTAAGTTACCAGCAAATGGTGAGCTGCCTTTTTAACACTACTTTATAATAAACACAGGAGCAACTGAGAGAATCCCAATAGTAACACAGAGTAGTATGTAACCAGTTTTGCAAAAATAAAAATTTCCCACTAAATATAACATGACATGAAAACAATACTAAAACACTGTAAGCTTAAATGTCCCATTAGCAAAGGTAAAATTCCGAGGAGAAATGCAAGACAGTAAAATACAGATTTGTGCAAGCTGCTCTTAAGAGAAGCAATTAAGTCTTGGTTTTTAAACAAGCAGAAAGTAATGGTTTTCCTTTCCTTACTTGTTACCAGATTTCAAGTCCTCCTATCAGCATTTTTCCTCTGACCAGGAATTACAATAAAATAAAGTTAAATAAAGAGATACTTCACTTGTTTTTAAAAGCATTTATAGAAATCAAGTCAGAGAGGGAAAATATTTTTCAAAGGTAACTTCAGAATGATCTCTCTTCCTTGGTAACTGCAGACAATGGGCATCTGAACTCTTCCAAATACCAAAAATGCTGTCACAAAAATAAAGAATTAAAAAACAGGGCAGACTTTGGGAGACTACAACAATGCAGTCAATACTGAGACAGGTTCCCCAGAGAAAAGCCTTCTGCTTCAGTGGGCCCCTGTGGAGCAAGTTGCTGGCTAAGGAGTTTCAGGAGAGGGTAAGGGAGGGGCTCATGACAGCCCATTGAGAACTCGGGCCCTCCCCTCCCTTATGCTCGCCAACTACAAGTAAGAATACTGGCTGATCTTGGTAGGACTCAGTGGGTATCCAGTGTAAATGGCCGAGCCTCGGGAAGACCCAATGTAAGACTGGGTGGCAAACTGGTGTTGGTACTGCGCAGGGGCCACGCTGGCAGAAGTGAGGAGACTAGGCCCAACGCTGACAGGGACCTGGTGCACCAGAGTGCTCGGGTGGGTGGCATAGGCCGCAGCGTGCCTCGAGGAGCCCTGCGGGGAGAAGAGATGAGCAATGGAGGTGGTGGAGCCCAGTGCAGCAGCAGAGGTGGGGGCAGCGTACGTATACAGATGAGGCTGGCTCGGCAGGTGAGCGGGGGCTGGGGCCAGGTGGGGGTGCCCCGTCGAGTGCAGTGGGCTGCCATGCTGGAAGGCGTAGGGGGCCTGGGAGAGCGGGGCCACAAATGCCTGCTGCCTGCGGGGGGCAGGGTTGCCACTTCTCTCCTGCGAGGTTGGAGCTGACGATGACTGCTGGTTCTGGAAGGAGGGAGAAGGGAGTGAGCAATCTTGAGGTCACTAATGGTCCATTTTGAGAGTTGAGGTTCTAACATAAACTGCCTCTGGGCTGCCAGAGCACAGATCTCCCAGACTGGCAATGCTGTCAGAAGGCAGCCATCCATCCCTCTGCCTCCTGGCAGAACAGATCCTAACCCAGCCCAAACAGCAGCGGTTTGCTCTCCAGTATGACAGAGGAAAGGGGGAAATAAAGAGTTCACAGGGGTTACCCACTCCTACAAGCGAGTAACTGTCAACTCAACTCACCCTATTCTGGGTTGAATCTTCCCTACCCTCTCTTCCTTGCCATTGTTTCTTTTGTTCTCCTCTAAGTTCTTCACATCCCTCTTGAATTGTGGTGCCTAAAACACATGCACTAACTCGAACGTACATCTGCACTTGCATGTGCTCTCTCTTACACACACACGTGCACACAAACCCACAGTTACACCCTCACAGTTACACCTTCTCACTGCTAACAGCTTTCATACAAGCACCAGAATTTTAGCTGCGGAAAAAGTGAACACAAATAGAGTAGGGACCCTCCCCACCCATCAGAAGATCAGATGCGGGGAAAAGAGCCCCAAACCCCAGACTCGAGCAACATGTAAGACTAGAACCAGTAGATTAAGTGTATAGACAGCTTTTCACTGTCCCTTGCTTCAAGTAAACAGTATGAGGCTCAAGTTATTTATGACCCAGGAGATGAAAGAAGAGAATCTGGTCTCAATGCCGGTGATGATGCAGAACTAGGCATGGACTAAAGTATCCTTGGTGCTTTCTAAATTCCAGACATTTCTCTAATCATCCAGGACAGGCTCGGGAGGTCTGATGGAAAACCTGGATCGTATACCCTGAACACACTCACAGAGGGAATAAAGAGACACAACACATGCAGATACAATGCGGACCATGGAACACCAAGCTGTTTGTGCTTCATTTGGCTTTATTCAGCAACCCAGCCAGAAGCGGGTTTCTCCAGAAAGCAACAATAGGGGGGGTCCCAAACAGAAAGCAGCAGCCCCTAGCGCTTACCTGGCTAAGGTTGAGTGGCTGCGCTGCACTGGTCCCCCCGCGTTGAGCTCGGTACCCTGTGGGGGTGATACAGCATCCAGATGACTGCCCACTCACTGAAGCCACTGGCTTGGTCTTACTGCTCAGGAGACCTAAAAAAAGGGTCAGTCAGGCCTTAGTTATGAGCAGACATGGGCTTAGTATCACTGAGCTAAACCTCACATGGCATCATATTAATCAGTCCATGTCTGTATGAGGTTTGCAAGAGTTAAGGTTTCATGTGTATCTTATTTCCTCAATTACATTTACACGAGAGGAACAAAAACTGTATTATCCCTTTTTGTCTTCCTATAGAGCTCCAAGAGGGTCTTCAGAAGGGTCACTTCAGTAAATAGTATCTGATCACCAGTAATGTGTTAAGGTGCTATTAGAAATATAACACAAGTAAGAACAGACCCTGCTCCCAAGAAGCATAGGGTTTTATGTATGAAGGAATTAAACAAGAACAGAAATGATAATGTGAAGCTGAGAAAGATACTGGTAATACTGCAGAACATTAAGGTGTCAAAGGGGTTTAAAGGAAGATAAGATTGTATCTTGTTGGGCATTCACTGTCTTGAAATTCTAAGAAACTATGGCTGAAACTACAGCATGATCAGTTTTCAAACCTTTGCCTCCTTCTGTGGCCTCATGAGGAAAACTGGAGCGCACATTCAGTGACTGGTGGAGCATCCTGTTTTCTCTGGACCCAGTACAGGACAGAGCCCCCAGTAATGCTGCTCAGGGGTTCCCCAGTGGCTTGGTGGTAAAGAATATGCCTGCCAATGCAGGAGTCCTGGGTTTGATCCCCGGGTCAGAAGGAACCCTTGGAGGAGTAAATGGCAACCCACTCCAGTATCCTTGCCTGGAGAATTTCATGGACAGAGGAAGCTGGTGATATAGTCCATAGGGTTGCAGAGCTGGACATG